GATATTGATAAATGCGTTTATAAGTTAATCCGAACCTTTTCACAAAATAAGTGTCTCCTCGAAATTTTTATTTGCGAAAAGTACATATGGTCGAGAATTTCCTAAAAAGGCTAAATTCAAAAAATAAGAAAAGGATTATAAACTTCAACGAAAGCATTATTAATGTGTAATAAGACACAAGATTATTACCAAATATGCTGCAGCAAATATTTTAGAAGCTTTGAAATGCAAAAAGAAACATAAGAGTAGAAATTTTAATATGCCCTTGTTTACAGGATAGCTTTTCTTTATTTACATTGGATATCTGTAATCGTATGTCGACACAAGGCTATGTTCCTGTTAACTTGGTGAAACTTGTAACATTCGCTCCCGTCATTTGTGTGGTACGGGTGATAAGTTTCGGGCAGACATCTCTACCGAAATTCCGTGAGGTTTTGCGATACATTTTATATAGAAAGTCAGAATTTTGTAATCAAAATGGTGATTTGAAGCAAGAAATCGAAGTCGAGCTGTTCCGGGAAAGGTTTCTCGGTAAAGCGAACCACCCACCGCCTTTCTCCTTTGCTCCGAACTTTCTTTTTTGAGTGGATGGGAATTGCTTTCTTACCATTTTGATGTGGGAAGTTTCCGTTCTGATAATTTGTGTGCAGTGCCATCAAATAATTAAATAGATAACGGCAAATGTTACAACGATTTGACAGGTGACAAGGTGATAAGTGACATGCGTATTTGAAAGTAGTTTTTCCTAGATAATCATCCTTCTCGCTGTTGAGGTAATTAATCTCTTATTGCTTTTACAATGCTCGGTTGATTTCCAAGAATAAAAATTTCGCAAAAATGGGCACTGGAATTCGATCGTTTTTGTTTTTTTTTTTTTTTAGGTGTACGAGACAATTGCAAAAGGCAAGGTTTGACATAATTATCCAATGGTTGTTGTTCAGGAATGTGTTCAAACTCTACGATTCCATTGACAACGAGATTCTAGATTCCTAATGCATATCCATTCATAATAAAATTTCAAACACTTTCCCCTGAAAAAAAAAAAAAAAAAAAAAAGTAAGTCAGTCGATAGATAATCTTTGTATATGCGACTTTTCAATCAATGAACCATCGAAAATTTTTATTATTTTTAGAAAACGCGACCTTGCGAAATTTTATCGAAGAATATACAGTATATGGATGACGTAATTTATGCCCGATGAATCGATTATGCAAAATAAATTATATGAAAGTACAATTCGACCAAGTAAACAAAAATAAATGAATTGCTATTTTTTCTGACCATAGACTCTTACGTATTTTACATAAGTTTTTGAGTCGTTAACTTCCTTCTCGAATGTTCGGATGTGATCATTGTACTCTTCCACCGTAGCGCCCATCAATTCAGACATCACTTCCTTCAGTTTCTCCCACCTGGCAATAATATCTTGTATTAAAATCATTCCGAGTTGTCTTCCTCGATTTCCCAAATTACAAA